AGTAATTAGTTATAACATGGTTATACTTAGACTTAGTTATATTTATTCCTAAGTTTGGCAAGGGAATCAAATTATAATATTCGAAAAATAATCGAAATATTGAAAGTAAGACAAAACAAGGTATTTATTTTATGTTCGGCACATCAAACAAGGGAGGCACAGTTTTATTAAAAGTTTTAATATATTTTAGTCAAATATTTACTGACACCTAGCTATTGGGTATATAGAGAAATACCAGATTTATTTCGAGTGTTGAACATGATATCTCACGAGTGAGCGCAGCGAACGAGTGGGATATCATGTTCAACACGAGAAATAAATCTGGTATTTCCAAGCACCCATGTATTTTTCTGTTTATTATATAAAGGACAGTCTTTAGAAAACGATAACTTTTACAGAAAAGTGAAAATTGAAAAGCGATAATTTTCACATGTGAGATTATCATAAATAATCTCACATGTGAGATTATCACTTTTATCAGTGCTCGAAATCTCTATAAGGGACGGACCATTAGATATTTGAGGGGGTGGTTGCAGAAATCCCCCCCCAAAAAAATTCGAGCAAGGCTTTAAGGCGGTTTTCCACTAAGCGAAATTTTTCGACCGAATCGAAATTTCTCTTTGTTTCATGAGCTCTCGAGCAGAACTAATTGTAAAAAGACAAAGAGAAATTTCGTTTCGGTCGAAAAATTCCGCCTCGTGGAATCAGGCCTTTATCCTTAAAAAAAAAGCGAGAAGAAAACTTGAAAAAAAAATTCGTGCAAGCATCCATCCTATGAGAGTAAACTCCAAATTCCTGGACCCCTATTCAGTGGAACTTCTGGACATAAAATATGAAGAATAGATAGAATGCCGTGACAATCCTGATGATCACCCATTATTTCATTATGCGAAACTTCCAAATTTGTGAAGGCACAGAAGTTTTAAAAATTAAGGGGACGAAACCTGCGAATGGGCATACAGGCTGTATGGCCTGCAGAGGAGGTAGGATATATACTTCATGTCCTAGGGGTCCTAGGGCTATGCCCAACCCCACACATAGATTCATTATAGCTGCAAGACAGGAAGTACATACCAGAGGTTGTACGACAACTACTGAGTCTGAGGTCTGAGAGCGCGGATAATCTGCCTTGATTTATTGCATATTAATAATTACTACCACAGAGTAAACAGATTTGTTTATTCTGTGGTAATACAGAACCCCGGAACAGGTCTTCAGATTGCCGACCAGCTTGCCGCCACTTCGGGCTACCATCTCTCTAGCTGCCTGTACCTCATGTCAAAGATGGTGTAGATAAATGTGGATAAGTACACGCCTTAAAATTATGACCTGTCCTCAATTATTAAATCATGCAGACTTGTATTTTTGTTCAAAGGCAATCGTCTACAGTTTGTATCTCTATGTAACTGATTTATATTTGAAACTGATTAATATTTGAAACTATGCCGGAAACAGTGGTGTAGCCAAGGGGGGGGGGCGAGGGGCGAAGTAGAGAAATGGGGGGGAGGTTACACGTTACATGCTCGAAGCTGAAACTGATTAATACTTGAGGAACTTGATTTGTAAAATCTCGTTAAAGCATTTGTAGCCTTGTAGATATAGTTCCAAGAAGAATAGATTTAGTTTAGATTTTTAACTGTTAATTAAATACATGTATGCATTATATCATAGCATGAATATTTCTTCTCAGACTTATCCTGTATCATATAAAAAGCAACGCAATTTTGAGAATGCGGAAATGGTGTCTCATGGAACCTAGAATGATTTAAATGCAACATTTCTGATCAAAATCACATGCTTCCCACAGCATCACAGAGGACAAATAAGGTGACACTGACCCCTCCTGTTTTTCAAGGTGACTTTCCAATTTATTTAATTCCGAGTAGAAATGTCTGGGAAAATTCATGTCTTCGATGTACTTTATAATCTTCGGAATTCGGCTAGATTTCACCCCCCAAAACGCTTGAAATAGCATTTCAGGTACTCTAGATTTCTAGATTTCTCACGCCTACGGCGTGAGCTTCGCCCACCCAAAAATGAAGGTCTGGCTACGCCACTGGCCGGAAACGGAGCAGTCACTGTCGAAAGGGCCTGTTTACATGTACACTATCAAATTTTCTTTCAAAGATATTGTAAGCTGCCCCTATTAAAAACTACAAATAAAAAAAATTCTTGCAAGCGTTTGACTATTAAACGAAAAAAAAGCGTGCACAACATGTGTGTCCAAAAAAAATTCCTGCAAGGAAAAAAGCTGCAACCACCCCCTCAAATATCTAATGGTCCGTCCCTAAAGCACTATACTTTATATAATAAATACATATAATGATGCAACGCTACCTTTTCGGGAGACTATGCTATATTGGTCTGCTATAGTTGCTATGTCATGGTGCAATTTATCGACAAGAACATCCAAACCGACATTCTTTATTTAGTCCTAGATTTTGGAAAGGCATTTGATTCTGTTGACCATCATATATATTCTTTCCCACAACCTCAAATTATACGGCAACTGTCCTACTGCATGAATTGTATTGCTTGTATATTTTGAGTTGATTTTGTATGAAAGTACTCGCAAAACGACCACTCCTTCAAAATTGTAAATTCCGTTTCGCGGCGTTATAAAGCCATAATACTCCACATTTTTTGCTCAAATTTCTTCTTGTGTGCTTCTATCTTTGTTATTGTAAAACTGGCCCGGTCAGAAACATAGCCAAGGCAAAAAACGCGAAAAACTACCATCTGTAATACAAATCTATACAAAAGTGGGACCACAGAATCGGGTGGCGGCCGGTGATTTCCGGCTTCATTTTTGTATACTATAGTATAGATCATATTGATGCGTTATCCAGTCTAATTTCAGATCAGTGGGTGGAAACTAATTAGACTGAAAAGACAGCTATTTCTTTCTCGCCCCTTCCATTTTTCCTCGCTCTCTTTCTCTCGCCTTCGCATTCCCCCCCCCCTAACTTTTCCCACCCTCGCCCTCCCCCCTAAATAGCGCCTGTTATGCAGGCTAGAAAAGACAGAGAGAAATTCCGCTCCGCGTGCAAAATTCCGCCCAGTGGAAAACGGGCTTCAAGGTGGATTTCCATTCAGTGGAAAAAGTCGCGCGATCGACTTTTTGCGATCACTTTCTTTTCAAATGCGTGCAGTCAACCTCATCCGTTGCGCTTGATTGCTTGTATTTCAAAAGAAAGTGGTCGCAAAAAGTCGCCTTTAAGCCGGTTTTCCACCAGGCGGAATTTTGCGCGCGGAGCGGAATCTTTCTTTGTCTTTTCTAATTAGTTCCACCCGAGAAATCACAAGACAAAGAAAACGTCCGCTCCGCGCGCAAAATTCCGCCTAGTGGAAAACCGGCTTAATCAGTAAAGTATTATCAGCATACATGCAGAATTGATTCAGTGATTTACTGTAGCCCGCGTGCAGGCCCAAGGGAGCAGGCTGAAAGGGAACTTGATAGTGGGCCTGCAAGCAAGGCCCGGTATTTTGTACTTTCCGCGTTCGCCCACGAACGCGGCATTCTGATTGGCTGTTTGCTGTTGGATTCTATAATTAGGTCAGTGATTCATCACAAAGGCATAGACAAAGGCTCTCGATAAGCTTAAAATTCGATAGCCCGCGTGCAGGCCCAAGGGAACTGATAGTGGGCCTGCAAGCAAGGCCCGGTATTTTGTAAAACGCCCCTTTTCATAACACGCCCCATTCGCGCGTCAATTGTCAAAAAAGAACCAATGACAGCAACCCAAATATTAACAAACAAACACGCATTAAAATGTTGCGGGGTTTTCTCTGCTTTAATATTCAAAATATAGAAACAATGTGTAAATGCCTGTGTTAAAACTCCAAAAAAACAAGCAACGCAGTCAGTAATTGCCAAATTTACAAGTGCTCATTTTCAACTAAAATCGGAACAGGCAAATTAAGACGAATTTCAACAGAAAACCAGTCTCAAACTTCAAATCGTGAGGGAAGTCGTGCGACCACATCAGCATTTACAATGTTGCTTCGCTGTCGCCATTGTTATAAATAAATTGTCTCACTTATCAGATCGTGTGTGCAATTCTTGTTGGCGGCGGAAAGTACGAAATTTACTTCAGTTATTTCATTTGGTGAGAACTCTACAAAAGAAGAGAGCGTTCAGAGTCCAGATCGTTTCGTTTCAAACGGCAATTTAATGCCGTCTTCTCTTTTGCTCTCTCAGCGAAGCCTTGTAAATCGCAAAGTATTTTGAATAGGCTTACATGCAACTGCATCTCAACATCAACCAAAAGATAATTTTCTTGAGGAACATATAACGTATCAAGTCTGTTTGAAATTAATGAAACTCAAGTAAAGGTTACTATAGTTTTATACCCCATTCGTAATAAATGTTGCTATTCCAACACCTCACGACAAGCAATCCTCGTTGGCATAACGGCAAAAACATCTCTTCCTTCAAGTAAACAATAAACAGTCTGTTCTTGTTCCATTTGTAATCGAAAAAAATGATCACTTTTCGAATTTTAAGCTTATCGAGAGCCTTTGTCTATACCTTTGTGATGAATCACTGACCTAATTATAGAATCCAACAGCAAACAGCCAATCAGAATGCCGCGTTCGTGGGCGAACGCGGAAAGTACAAAATACCGGGCCTTGCTTGCAGGCCCACTGTCAAGTTCCCTTCAGCCTGCTCCCTTGGGCCTGCACGCGGGCTAAAAATTCGAAAATTGATCACTTTTTTCGATTACAAATGAACAAGAACAGACTGTTTATTGTTTACTTGAAGCACAGTTAATTGAAGGAAGAGATGTTTTTGCCGTTATGCCAATGAGGATTGCTTGTCGTGAGG